GCTACCTGTAAATAAAAGTCGCATCAAAATTTGTTCAGTAATTTCAGAGATTATCCGGAATAAACAGGCAGATAGACAAAAATTGTAAAAAGTGTTATTCTGGTGTATGTACCGTATTTATATTCATATGTCTGTAGTAAAATACTATTGTTTCAATATTACAAACAGATACTCCAATTTTATTTATATGTATAGATATAAACGCGAAAGTCTGGAGTACGGATGTTTGTTACTTTATCACACAAAAACAGCTGATTGCATGATTACATTATCATCCTTAATAAAAAAAATATAAAAGAATAGATGCTCTACTACATAGTGATTAAGAATTCTTTTAAAACGCACAATTAGGGTGCTCTGTCCCATTACATCCATTATTGACGACCTCGGTAGTCTAGCGGTGTACCGCTTTACGTCCGATGGTCGCGGGTTCGATTCCTCGCACGGCACAAACATTTGTATTCGTGAGTATGATTATTTGTATCGGTCTGGGTGTTTTCTATGTATAATATGTATGTATTTACTAAAAAAATATGTCTATGTAATTGTATCAGTTGTCTAGTACCCATAACAAAAGCTTTAGCTAGCTTACCTTGGGGCTAGGTGGCGCTATGTGAATTGTCCTGAGATATTATTATTAAAAACAAACATAAAAAAAATAGATGCTCTACTACGTTGTGATTGGGAATTCTTTTAAACAGCACAATTAGGATAGGTTATTTTTTATAATGGATGTAATGGATAAACCATTACATCCATTATAAAAAAATATTAATAAATAATGCTCTACTACATACCGGTTGGGAATTCTTTTAAACAGCACAATTAGGGTGCTCCATTCCATTATCATCTATTATAAAAAAAAAATAAAAAAAAAATGCTCAACTACATACCGGTTTGGAATTCCTTTAATCTACACATTAGTCGTTCATTAGACCTCATTTACTGTTACAAATATCGATTCCCTGTCGTGTTCTCTCGTTTGGAGGCACAACACGTGTCGTAGCGAGGCGTCTCAACTAATGCTTGTGGAAGTAACAAATTAACCTCGTTTCTCTATTCAGTAGTCTTCCGCAAATTAACCGTAACCGTTCCTGTTTTTTCCGGAAACGCCGAGGAAAGAGATTCTACGTTTTGGGCTCATGGGAACTGATTGTCCTGATTCGACGAAAGTTATTTCAGTTTTAGTGGATATGCTGGAGACAGTCAGTTGGTGGGGTTCGAAACAAATGGTTGTCATCAATTTTTACTCTATATCTCCGACTCCTTATTAATTTTATCAATATTAAATCCAGTTTCTGCAGAACAAAATATTAAAATAGAGATGTGCTAACTCGTAATAAACCTAACTCGAGTTGAAATTTAGATAACTCGAGTTAACTCGAGTTGACTCGAGTTACCTGGAATAACTATAGTCTGTTTTTTAATCCAGAAGACTAAATTGACAGGTGTAAATAAAAAAAATTCAAATAATATTACAACCTATAGCGTAGTAGTGGTGTACCTGCGATACCGATTTGTTTAATCGTAAATTTTGTTTTAACATATTAGTTTTAAAGCTTTAAATGACATTTCCACAACAGAATTTAAATATTTATGTACATATATACATACTAAAACATAGAAAAGAAAAAAAAAGACACTAAAATTATATAATAATAAGTCACACTATAAGAAGGAATATGCGTTGGAGACATGGACTCTTCGTGAAACGGAGAAGAAGAAATTTGACGCGTCGGAGATGTGATGCTGGAGACAGATGCTAGAAATATTGTGGACAGAGTTTCGTTCAAATGGTTCCATATTAAAAGAAGTCTGCATCATACAGCGCCTATCAACCACAGTGCAGTCACGCATTCTGACCCTCTTCGGCCACGTATCTCGCAGTGGTAATGACTGCATAGAGCATCTCGTAGTGCAGAGAAAAGTGGAAGGCACCAGGCCACGTGGTAGATCACCAATGAGATGGACAGACCAGATCAAGGCTGCAAATAAGTGCTCAGTTTACGAATGTACCCGGAAAGCTGCAGTCTGCGACGAATGGTATTACCAAAAACCTCACTCATCGTGATTCTAAATGTTGACCACGACCACTCTGACTAGAGTGTGCCGACTAAGAAGAAGAAGAATAAGAAGGAATAAACATACACAAACATATGAATAGTTTGTCACTAGATGGCGTTTTTAAATTGTTACAACGCGCTATATTTTCGTTTTCGAGTGACGTATAAAGTGTAGCAGTTTTTTTTAATTGTATGACCTCTTCCGGACCATCCCTTATCCAATTCAAACGGGGATCGAAATTACGACAGCCCGACCCCAGGTTGGAACCCCTTGTGGTGCCCTCAGGCTAATTTGATATCCGACAAGTGGGAGTTGGCCATTAGCTACTCCATACCTTCCGCGGGTGTGGAGTTTCATCTGCACTCGCCCCCTATCGTTCGGTGAAGCTGTAAAGGCCAGCTGCGGCTAACAGCAATTGAATAGTCTAAAATAATATGAATTTTCCTCTATACATGTTAATAACATATTTAAAATAAAGAGACAGCCTTGGTGATTAGCGGTTTTGCACATTGCTTTTCTTTCAATGGTCGCGGGTTCGATTCCTCGCACGGTGCAATAATTTGTATTCATGAGTATGATTGTTTGTATTGGTCTGGATGTTGTCTATATTCGCCTTTTTTCAAAATAACTCGATAACTGTAAGAAATATGAGAAAATATTTCAAATAAAAGTTGTAGAGAAAAAAATTCTGCACAAAACAGGTCCTATTCATTAGAATAGAATAGAATAGAAAATCATTTATTCAAATAAACTTACATTGAAGCACTTTTGAATAGTCATTACATTTTTTTAATCTACCGCTCATTCGGAAAGCTGTCTCATCACAAGAGGAACGAGCAAGAAACTTGCGTGTTGCTCTTTTAAATAATTTTATTATTACTTTACATTTTTAAGTTTAAGTGTGTGAATACAAACCACCAATTAGCACTAATTCAATTAAATACTCAAATAGAAGTAAAATTGAATATATAACCAATTGATATAATCTAACTAATATATATTATGTATATATTTAAATAAAATTTTAACAATTTACATCAGTTGTCTAGTACCCATAACACAAGCTCTGCTTACCGTGGTACTAGATGGCGCTGTATTAATTGTCCAGGGTTATTTATATGTGGAATTATACTCATAGTATAATAATGTTTTGAAATAGTATTCTTATTTCTCTGACGTAAAGTTTATTTTGGAAGCAGCGGCGAGTACACAACTATTCTATATAAAAAATACACAAATAAACCTACAGTTCGTGACAATACACTCAAATATATGAGTGCTTTCTGTACGTGAAGGTTTTAAGGGTGATACTATATCTTCTTTTATGGCCTATCTACAGATTATATAGGTATTGGTATCACCTGATTTTTGCTCACAATAGATCTATATAGGTCGCAGTGATACTTTTTTACATATACGATGGTGGCAAACAAACATACGATCCATGTGATGGTAAGTGATGTTACTGAAGCCTATGTTAGAGGTAGTCCACCCCTAATTTTTTTTTTATTTTAAGGCAAAACAACGTTTAATAATAATAATAATAATAGCCCAAAACCCTCTTTATAAAGTGGATAATATTGAAGCAACTCTGTGTAATTTATACATGCTCTTTATATATTTCACAAACATACTCCTTTAATTTCATCACATGTGTCAAGACCTGACAATAGCCCAAACAAAAAAAAAAAAAAAGATATGCTAAAATAAAACTTGTGTATAAATGCATATGTAAGTATAATAAAATCATGAGCGGTAGTGAACGCATCCGGGTGGTAACAGATGGTCGTCGTCAGTTCAATCCTGGTGAGGACGGTGACACTTGAAGTTGCATATGGCCGCGGCAGAGGCCGGCAATAAAAGAAAATTTTAAATGAAACATGTGTATTAAAGTATAAATATATAGAATAAAATCATGAGCGGTAGTGAACGCATCCGGGTAGTAACAGATGGTCGTCGTCAGTGAAGTCGTGGTGAGGACGATGACACTTGAAGTTGCATATGGCCGCGGCAGGGATCGGCAATAAAAGAAGATTTTAAATGAAACATGTGTATTAAAGTATAAATATATAGTATAAAATCATAAGCGGTAGTGAACGCATCCGGGTGGTAACAGATGGTCGTCGTCAGTGAAGTCGTGGTGAGCACTGTGGCACTAGAAGTTGCAAATGGCCCCGCCAGGGGCCGGCAATAAAAGAAAATTTTAAATGAAACATGTGTATTAAAGTATAAATATATAGTATAAAATCAGCAGCGGTAGTGAACGCATCCGGGTGGTAACAGATGGTCGTCGTCAGTGTAGTCGTGATGAGGACGGTGACACTTGAAGTTGCGCATGGCCGCGGAACGGGCCGGCAATAAAAGAAAATTTTAAATGAAACATGTGTATTAAAATATATATCTAGAATAAAATCATGAGCGGTAGTGAACGCAGCCGGGTGGTAACAGATGGTCGTCGTCAGTGAAGTCGTGGTGAGGACGGTGACACTTGAAGTTGCGTATGGGCGCGGCGAGGGCCGGCAATAAAAGAAGATTTTAAATGAAACATGTGTATTAAAGTATAAATATATAGTATAAAATCAGCAGCGGTAGTGAACGCATCCGGGTGGTAACAGATGGTCGTCGTCAGTGTAGTCGTGATGAGGACGGTGACACTTGAAGTTGCGCATGACCGCGGCACGGGCCGGCAATAAAAGAAAATTATAAATGAAACATGTGTATTAAAGTATAAATATATAGAATATATATAGAATAAAATCATGAGCGGTAGTGAACGCATCCGGGTAGTAACAGATGGTCGTCGTCAGTGAAGTCGTGGTGAGGACGATGACACTTGAAGTTGCATATGGCCGCGGCAGGGGCCGGCAATAAAAGAAAATTTTAAATGAAACATGTGTATTAAAGTATAAATATATAGAATAAAATCAGCAGCGGTAGTGAACGCATCCGGGTGGTTACAGACGGTCGTCGTCAGTGTAGTCGTGGTGAGGACGGTGACACTTGAAGTCTCGTGTGGGCGCGGCGCGGGCGGGCACTGCGGCGCTGCACCAGCTGCTGCCTGCCGCACTCACCGACACGCAACCCTCCGCTAGTCCTCCCGACCATCTTATGACAAAACCATTTAAGTTTTTATAATAACAAACTAGCAATATACCCCAGTTTCGCACGGGACTATTATTTGTTTGACTTTGAAACTGTTTAAAACTAATGTATTTAGAGAAGGATTAATGTCATGCTTATACAAACATCTTCGCAAATAATGCATTGTTTAGAAGAAATTTGATTACCATTAGAAAGGTTATAGTGAATTAACCTTAAAAGATAGATATATATTATATGTATATACATAGACACATGTCGGATTGTCCGCTCCAGAGACACCGGATATCGCTGCACTGCTGCGGACCCAGTGCTTCTGGAAATAGGCATAAATATATGAATTGAATGAATAAAATTGTAATTTACTAACATATTTTATAAGTTGTTTACTAACATAATATGGATACATATCCGAAATAAATATATATATATAAAATTCTCGTGTCACAGTTTCGTTCCCATACTCCTCCGAAACGGCTTGACCGATTCTCATGAAATTTTGTGAGCGTATTGAGTAGGTCTGAGAATCGGCCAATATCTATTTATCATCCCCCTAAATGTTAGGGGTAGTCCACCCCTAATTTTTTTTTATTTTAAGGCAAAACAACGTTTGTCGGGACAACTAGTATGTATATATATATATATATATATATATATAATGTGTTATGTATTTTTCAAACACCTTTTTTATGTGAAATAATATACTTAATTGTGTTGCTCTGAAAAGAGATTATATTTATTACAAACAATTGTCTTAACAAGTATAACAGCGCATTACAAATAGTATCAATTTTAAATAACTCACCTGAAAAGAGAAACAACATTTAACGCTATTACTTCACAAAATTATCAACTCAAATTATAAACAATTATACAAGTATTATTCAGCAAACAAACTGTTAGAAACATCTAGAAACTTCCTCGACAAATGACGTACGTCATTCTGACGTTTAAATTTGATTCACCTACAAATGCGCGCCAAATTCAAATAATGAATGTCAATGACTTTCATTTATATATATATATATATATATATGGACTTTTTCAGAACTATTAAAGGAGAATAATTCCGTAATACTTATATTTTGCGTAACTAAACGTTTATGCAGTGGAAGCACTCAAAAATAATCTTTTTTACCACATCTTACATTGCTGCTCCCCTTCTATTGGTCGTAGCGTGATGTTATATAGCCCAGGGTAAACGAACCTTTACGCATCAACGTGCCATTTTTTCCAAATAAATGTTTAATGGGGTCATTGACGTGCCATCAAATAATTTGACTTTCTGATTATTTGGAAAATAATAATAATAAATATTGTGCGTGTTTAGTACCTTTCAGAATATGTTTATCATTATCATATACCCTTATCACTTAATAGTGTTCGAGTTCACATTAATATTGTAGAAAAATCCGATATCTTAAAAATATATTTAAAAAATTTTTAGAATGCATTAACACTCACCTTCACTACTTGTGGTATCCTCCCAGTCCCTATAATATTCACAATTACCTATCTCTTATTTGTTTTTATAATAATATAAACACTCCAACCTTTTCGCTCCAAACTACCGCTACGTCAGTTCCATCCATCCATCAATCTACTCGTCAATGTCAAAATGTCACAAACTTTTTTAGGCTCTGGCCTCTGCCGTTTCATTTCAGGTTACTCTGAACGCCATAAATGATTATTGACTTTACCATCTTTAATTAATGGTGTTTCACACGATTGTTAACATATAAAACACTACATACTTAGCTGTATATTGAACGTAAATACGTTGAGAGTCGGAGGGCGAGACGGTACACTGTAGTGGCCACACTTCAAATCCTTTACTACCCACCCATTGGATAGTTAAGTCTAGTTTTTGATCTCCTGCAAACAAGACAAATTATTTTAAAATATAACATTAAAAATATTTTTTATTTCATCATCATCATCATCATCATCTCAGCCCGGAAGACGTCCACTGCTGGACATAGGACAAAGATCTCCACGACGATCGGTTCTACGCAGCTCGCATCCAATGCCTTCAGCGATCTTGACCAGATCGTCAGTCCACCTTGCTGGAGGCCTTCCCACGCTTCGTGTTGTTTTTATTCAAATTAACTTAATAAAAGCTCTTTTAAATAGTCATATTTTTTTAATTCTGCCACTCGTTCGGAACTCAGACTCGTCACAAGTAAAAAACTTGAGTGTTTCTCTGTTAAATAAGTGTAAAAAAAGAGTGATTACAAAACTGCCAAATGATAAAGTTGATATAAATAGTTATTTGAATAACAAAATAAATCAGTCATAGTTAAGAGCCCCTACAAGTAGCACCTGTTCACGAGTATGACGAGTGAACAGCAATCACTGCACTGTGTGGAACTGTACCACCCTCCGTATGGAATTTAAGTGAGCATGACCTTAAACCACGTCTCAAATTAAAATTCTTTAAGATAACAGTAGATTTGTTTATTTTCTATCTTCATCAAGATAAAATTAGAAGATGATGTAGAGTTTTGATGGAGATCTGATTGAGACTATGCAATAAAAGTCCGGGTGATAAACCACGACGTTTTCACAAAAATACTTATTTGAAAATCTATATATATATATATTATTTGAAAATCTATATATATATATAACTCAAAGGTGACTGACATAGTGATCTATTAACGCACAGCCCAAATCACAGGACGGATCGGGCTGAAATTTGGCATGCAGGTAGATGTTATGACGTAGGCATGCGCTAAGAAAGGATTTTTGATTAATTATCCCCTTGGGGACAGCCCAAGGGGATAAAATAGGGGACAAAAGTTTGTATGAAACTTTGTCAATTTTAAAACGATCGGGCTGAAACTTTGGATGCATAAAGCTACTATGACCTAGGCATCCCCTAAGAAAGAATTTTGATAAATTCCACCACTATGGGGATTAAATAGGGGATGAAAATTTGTATAAATCTTCTTAGATTTTCGACTGATTGAACTGAAATTAAAGATTGGAGCTACTATGATGAAGACGTCCGCTTAAATAGGATTTTGATAAATTCAACCCCCATGGGGATAAAATAAGGGATGATGCAGGATGTAAATGTATTAGTTTGAACCTATCAGTACCTAATGGAACGAATAAATTAAGACGAACAAAATAAATTTTAGTTCTTTAGGCTACTTTTATTTTAGAAAAATAAAGTTAAATTCCACGCGGACGAAGTCGCGGGAACAGCTAGTAGGTTATAATCTATATATATATTAATATTATAATTGCGCAAATGTGTTTATCTGTCTGTATTACCTTTTAATAACCAAACGGTAAGCCGTTTTGTCTATTAGAGATCCTAATAAAATTTGATATGAAGATAAATCTTACGAGATCGGATATAGGTTATCTTTTATCTCAAAAAGGCAGACAGACGTAGCCGCAGCTAACGATACATAAGAAAGAAAATAAAGAAAGAACATAACATGAAAATACACTTACGGCAAGTGTGTGCGACAGTGAAGTAAGTCTTCCTGGTATCGCCGTCGGTGACAAACCCGAAGTCAATACTAACCGGCTCCACTTTGAGAATTGGAAACTCCACGTCGAGTACTAGAAGCTGAGTCTGCGAAGTGACATATACAATAATAATGATAATAACATTAGTTCAAAATGATTATAAGCACCGCCATGATCAAGTTGCTACAATTATACATCAATATATAGCACATAAACATAAATTCATAGAAAGCAAAGTTCCATATTACAAATACAGCCCTATTAATGTATTAGAAAATGATCACTGTAAACTGTACTGGGATAGAACAATAATTACTGACAAAACTGTACATCACAATAGACCAGACATAACATTACACGACAAAATCAATAAAAAAGTATATCTTGTAGATATAGCCATCCCAAACACACACAATATACAAAGCACAGTCAATAAAAAACTAACAAAGTACACAGATCTAGCAATAGAATTAAAAAAACAATGGAAAGCTCACACCATCTACATAGTACCCATAGTTTTGTCATCCACAGGAATTATACCAAAAAGTCTGAACAAACACCTAGACACGTTGCGTATCCCCTCCTCTACAACAGACCTATTACAAAAAGCCGTCATACTAAACACATGCCGAATAGTCAGAAAATTTCTATCTTCATCACATAACTCATCCATGCTTGGCTAAGGCCCGCGTGTTTGAATATATTACCCCCGTGAAAAGGAGATATAATAAATATATATATATATGAAATAATAATAATAATAATAAGTATAAGTTGTAAGTAATAAGGGGTAAGTTGCCATTAAGAGGGGACATGAGAATTTTTGTAAAATAATAATCTCAGGACAATTCACACAGCGCCATCTAGTCTTAAGTTAAGCTATCTAAAGCTTGTGTTACGGGTACTAGACAACTGACACAAGTACATGGATAATTTTTTCTATGTAAATACATACATATTATACTTAAAAAACATGACTAGCTAGTATAAGATATGGCTCATCCGTCATACTCGTGAACGGGTGCTGCTTGTGGGGACTGGTCTGTTCAGGTGGCGAATACTAATTAGATTTTTTGTTTTTTTTTTAATAGCATATGCTGATGGTCACTCTATTCTCCCAAATTTGAATTTAAATGAATCTGTATTAATGTAAATATGTACTACATTTATTTGAAAAGAATATGAGCCGAATTTCTAGTGAGTTCTTCTCATCTGGAAATCATTCCGACTGACGGTAGATTTAACATATCATAAGAGTCTGTAATAGACCTACACGAATATAGATATTTTTTTGAATTTTTAATGTACATACAAACGCACAATAAAACAAGTATGAGCTCTTAATAATATAGAAACGATTTGAACATTTTCCTTCTAAAAATATTATTTCAGTTCAATTTCAAATATAAAACAAACTGACTTCCACGAGAGTGCTGTATCATCGTATAATGCATCCGGGAAAATGAAATATTGAATTTGTACTCTCACATTCAATAAATATTTCCTACTAAAGTCTTATCAATACTCCCATACTAATATTTGTCCGTATTATGAACCTGCTTAGTCTAAGCAGATTGTATCACCTGCTTGCTTACTGAACCAAAGGGCGCTTGGTAATACTGGCCACAAATAAATGTAGCCACTAAATGTCTAATCTATACATATAAATAAAATTGAAATGTCTGTTTGTAATATTGTTATAACATTTTACTACATGCATATGAATATAAATACATATAAATAAAATTGAAATGTCTGTTTGTAATATTGTTATAACATTTTACTACATGCCTATGAATTTAATACGGTACATACACCAAAATATTTTTTTTACAATTTTTATCGGTCTGTTTGTTCCGGATAATCTCTGAAACGGCTGGACCGATTTTGACGAGACTTTTTTGGCAGGTAGCTGATTTATAAGGAGTAACTTAGGTTACTTTTATTTTAGAAATATCACGCGGACGAAGTCGCGGGAACAGCTAGTGCTGTTCGTAGAATAAAAAAACAATTGAAAATAAGAACTGAAATAAAAAGGACGCTCCGTATTTTTAACTATATGAAACAAGATAATTAATGATTTATTTAACACAATATAATTGTTTTTGATGATAATATACACTGTAGAGTGCGTGGCCACTAAACAGTACTACACATCGGGACGTTCCTGAGCAAAGGTGAGTAAGTTTGGTGTTACATTGCTTACTTTGGGGTGTTCGGAGTGTGGAAGACGTTCTTCCAGGTCGAAATCGTATTTTTACTTCCTTTTCCATTAATTATTTTCTTTTCAATAAACACAATAAAATATGGTCGAGCGCAGTGATGGCTGGCTCATCCGTCATACTCGTGAGCGAGTGCTGCTTGTAGGGACTGGTCTGCTCTAATCACTATGACTTATTTCCTCTTATTAATTGTTTAACCAATAGTTGTATTGAAAGTTTTTTCTATTTTATTATTTAATTGAATTAGTCCAAATTGGTCATTTGTATTCACACACTTAAACTTAAATTGTAAGTAAGAATAAATTATTTAAAAGATCCACACACAAGTTTCTTGCTTGTTCTTCTTGTGATGAGACAGCATTCCGAATGAGTGGTAGATTAAAAAAAATGCGATGACTATTCAAAAGTGCTACATTGAAGCACTTTTGAATAGTCATCGCATTTTTTTTTATCTAGTTTATTCGAATAAATGATTTTCTATTCTATTCTATAATTCTATTTTATTCTACAGTCCACTCTCTATATAAACATAAATATATACAGAGTGAGCAATCGTGGACTTATCTCTAAAAGAGATCTCTACTAGTCAACCCAACAGTGAGGCAGAACTATTAGTGAGTGGATAACACATAAACATTTAACAATATTATGTTGAAATGTCCAAAAGTTGAGAAAAAAAAAAATTCAACATCTTAAATAATCTTGTAAACTAATAATCTTGTAAACTGGAGAGTGTTGGCTTGAAGATCAGCAGAACTAAAACTGAATACCTATTCTGCGATTTCGGCGGTCTCTCCAGTTTCAAGCCTATCTATCTAAACGGTGTAATGCTTCCGGTCTGCTCCGATTTTCGGTACCTCGGTTCAGTTATTCAGAACAATGCCGACATAGACCGCGATGTAAGGCACAGAATTAGTGCGGGATGGATGAAATGGCGACAGGTCTCGGGAACGATATGCGACCCCCGAATGCCCTTGAAACTAAAGGGTAAAATTTATAAATCTATCATAAGACCTGTCATTTTGTATGGATCTGAATGTTGGGCCGTAAAAGGGATGGACGAAAGGCGTGTGCATGTGGCAGAAATGCGAATGTTAAGATGGATGTGTGGGGTTACCAGGAATGACAGAATAAGGAATGTGTATATACGAGGAAGTTTGAAAGTTGCGCCGGTTATAGAAAAGTTGCGAGGTAACAGATTGAGCTGGTATGGGCATGTTATGCGGAGGAACGAGGACCATATCTTATGGAAAGTGTATAATATGAATGTGGATGGATGTAAAGGGAGGGGACGCCCTAAGAAAAGATGGATGGATTGTGTGAAAGATGATATGAATAAAAGAAGAGTATGTTTAGATATGACGACTGATAGAGATCAGTGGAAGAGAATGACATACTGCGCCGACCCCAAATAATGGGATAAAGGCAAGGCAATGATGAAATAATCTTGTAATAATTATAATTATAATATAATATACAATAATACATAAAATAAACATGAATAAAAAATATATATACAAATACATATATATTACTTTATAAGGATTCCTCATTCAACAAATGTTATAAATACGAAACTGTATCTTACTTTTTTATACTACGTTGGTGGCAGACAAGCATACGGCACATCTGATGGTAAATGGTTACCGTAGCCTATGGACGCCTGAAACACCAGGTGCCACGTGTGCGCTGCCGACTCTTAAGAAACATTAATATACCCTTCTTGAAAAACCACATGCTGTAGTCTCGTAAGAAAACCTTGGCAGGAAGTTCATTCCACAATCTAAGTGTACGCGGGTGGAAACTCCTCTTGAATCGTTCTGTCTGTATTTTAATTTTAACATTACTACTATATGTATAATATGTATGTATTTACGAAAAAAAAATCTATCAGGCTTTAGCTAGCTTAGCTTGGGTGAATAGTACAGATATTTTCTTTCTCTCTTTATTTTGGCAACAAACAGTCGTTATATAAACATATAAATATACAAATAAAAATATTTCTACAATAGACATTGAGTGCCGAAAATTTTTACATTATTTTAGTGCGCCTAGTGGACTAAAATAAAAACAAAACAATACAACTACAAAGAAAATGAATAAGAATATTACAGTACAAACATATAATAACAAAAATAAAAAAAGAGCTTACTTTAGTATTTCGAATAGTTTCTTCCTGTATGTAACTAAGGTGCATCAAAACGGCTCCAAGTCAACAAACTTTGTGTTATACATATTGACTGAACGGGGTATAAAGAAATTACTGGTATAGTTTTTTTTAAATCGTGGTGGTACCAACATGTTACTGGAGCGTCGAGAGAGGGATGCAGCTACGTATTTGTGTAATTATTACAAACAATGGTTATCACTTCTGTTAGGGTTCACATCGATATTGTCGAAAAATCTGATATTTTATATTAAAAGAAGGTAGTTTCATTATTACTCGGTATCGTTAAACTAGTTGCATATAACCCCCACTCATATCTTCTCTGTATAAAAGGGAGGGTTTTTGTAGGCTGCGGCACCCCTTCGATCGATCCCCCGTCCAATTCAAACGGGGATCGAAATTACGACGGCCTGAGCCGAGGTTCGAACCCCTAGTGGTGCCCTCAGACTAAAGTCGTATCCGTCAGGCAGGAGTTGGCCTTCAGCCGCTCCATAAGTCCTTCCGCGGGTTTGGAGTGCCATCTGCACTCGCCCCATAACGTCCGGTGAAGCTGTAAAGGCCAGCTACGGCCAACAGCATTAGAGTAGTACGAAAAAAAAAAAACCGCGGCATTCGGTCTTTGAGCACAGGATGTGCTGGTTGTATTTCAAATGCTAAAGTAAATTGTGTTAGAGACATAGTTAAATTAATACTATATATTTGTTATCTTACTATAATACATACTTTTACTAGTACATAGAGTTGATATATATATCACTTCCTACCAGACGGACTATTTGTTTGCCATTCCAGTTTTAAAGAAGAATAAGGTTTGTTTTTCTTGTAAGTCCTTCAATAATTCACAATGTTTTTAAAGTATAAAGAAGTAAAACCTTTCAAGTTGTAAAAAGGCCATGAAAGCTGGCATGCTTTTAATATGGGCCGCGTCGCAAACAAATGAGTTTAAGTAAAAATAAAAACTTCGTTTTTTCATAATCTATCAATAATTTAGTTACGACTTCGTCTGTATATCTTTATATATAAAAATTACGTGTCTCGTTGTTTATCCGCGATGGACTCCTAAACTACTGAACAGATTAAAACTTTAAATCCATAGCACTGACAATATTATCTGATTACATTAATAATGAGTGCGTAGCGACTTCTATGTTGATTATCGCATGCCTCTTACTTGTTATACTGTAATTATTTATATAAAAAAAAAACATCTATTAAAAAGAGCAACACACAAGTTTCTTGCTCATTCTTCTTGTGATGAATCTGCATTCCGAATGAGTGGTAGAATCAAAATATGACTATTCAAAAGTGCTTGTAATGAGTTTATTTGAATAAAGATTATTTCTATTTCTATTTCTATTGTCAATTTGATTTGCACATTGTGTGCACTTTGATCTAACTTGAAAGATAGTATAGGTTACATCTCAATTTATAGTCGCAATATTATTTTATTGGAAATAGCCACACGCGTGGCCGGGTCCGCTAGTTTAAATATATATAACTCAAAGGTGACTGACATAGTGATCTATCAACGCACAGCCCAAACCACTGGATGGATCGGGCTGAAATTTGGCATGCAGGTAGATGTTATGACGTAGGCATCCGCTAAGAAAGTATTTTGATTAATTCTACCCCCAAGGAGATAAAATAGGGGATGTCAATTTGATGTCGATTTTAAACCGATCGGGCTAAAACTTTGCATGCATAAAGCTACTATGACGTAGCATCCCCTAAGAAAGGATTTTGATAAATTCCACCCCTAAGGGGATAAATTAACGCGAGCGAAGCCGCGGGTAACAGCTAGTAAAGGATAAATAAATAAATCATCATCATTGCCTTGCCTTCATCCCATTATTTGAGGTCGTCGCAGTATGTCATTCTCTTCCACTGCTCTCTATCGGCCGTCATATCTGAACATACTCTTCTTTTATTCAATAAATAATAGGTTGTAGTTTAATAAAATTTTGTGTTTGTTTTATACACACACAAAACAATTACTCGCCTACGAGTTCAATTAATAAATATTACGTACAGCAAGCAAGTTGTCGCCATCATGGAACACAAGAGGCGTGACGGTTCTCCGTCGAGGGGGATACGACGGCGACTGGCATGGTGGGGCACCAGCTGTAGTCGGCCAAATCTCCGCAGCATCACAACACACCTCCACGCACATCTGGTGACAAAGCGCTCAATTAAAACATACCAATCTCAAGGTTATTTTGATGTACGTACCATATTTATGTTCATATGCATGTAGTAAAAAATTATTATTTCAATGTTACAAACAGATACTCCAATTTTATTTATATGTATAGATGAGTGATAATGCTGCAAAAAAAATCTTTTTTTTGTGGATGATAATGGAATTATGCACCCGCGTGCGCTAACGGTTTAAGCTGGCGGGGCACCAGTGGAGGATGATAAGATGAGCATGAGATCAGGTCAGTTTGCCCATAATTATTAAATAATCAAGAATTAACCACGATGGTTTTCGAGGGGCACCGCATGGAGGTCGACCTAACATGGTACATTTCTAGGAATGGTGTTGTTAGTAACACACCATTAGAAAGAGCACATTGGATATTACTGTGATAAAATAATTACGTTCTAACAATTGAAGGATTTTTGTACTGAGTAAAATAACATCGAAGGCCTCCAGCAAGGTGGACCGACGATCTGGTCAAGATCGCTGGAAGGCATTAGAATAGAATAGAAAATCATTTATTCAAATAAACTTATATTGAAGCACTTTTGAATAGTCATTACATTTTTTTTTAATCTACCGCTCGTTCGGAAAGCTGTCTCATCACAAGAGGAACGAGTTGTTCTTCAATTAATAAGAGGAAATCAGTCATAGTGATTAGAGCAGACCAGTCCCTACAAGCAGCACCCGTTCACGAGTATGACGGATGAGCCAGCCATCACTGCGCTCGACCATATTTTAGGGAGCCCAATGACCCGGCCCACCACGCCGCCACAAGTCTGGACATTTTAGTGAGCATGACTACTCAAAACACCAGACCACGTCATAGCTACTCACAATTGCCATCTGATGTTTATAGTATTCACATTTCACATAAGAATGCATGCGGCAATTAATACAAAAACCGCTACGCTTTCATATTTCTAAAGTAATTAATTCAAGAAAGCAATGAGAAAATTAAATTATAACGTTGTATGCTAATAAACTAATTATTTACTTGATATGTTGTCGTCTATGAATTCGTCTATCCTGTAATAGGATTTCTTACACAAAAAATGTTTAATATAAGATTTGAATTGCCTCTCTGTCAGATTTAATGCAGATTCTGGCAGTTTATTATAATTTTTTGGTTAACACACGTAGTGGACAAAAATAGACTCAGTCCCTTGGTATTTAAAAATATTTTTAAAGTAATGGGGAGGTTGAATTACTAAATTTATTATTTATACTAGCAGTCTACTATACTAGCAGTATACTCAGCACTCTGGATGCGAGCATCGCAGGACCGATCGCCGTGGAGATCTTTGGGGGAGGCCTATGTCCAGCACTGGACGTCCACCGGGCCGCGATGGTGATGGTGATGATGATGAAAATCACATCGCCATAAGGCCAATTTTGTATCCGTGTTCAGTTTCCAAAAAACAAACAGTGAATTGTAAACTGCAATTCAGCGACCGTAAGATTTACGCGCTGGCAAACAAGCGATATATTATCTTGTTTGTTATTTTATGGGCACCGTGCGACAATTTATGTGGTTTGGTTCCAGTTTAAAGAGTAACCTGTGTAAACAACTTTTGTATTAAAAACAATTTTTTCGTTGAAATTTAATGACTTTTTAACGAACTGAATTTAAATTTTTTTATTTTTATAACACAGGGGACAAACGAACATACGGCTCACCTGATGGTAAGTGATTACCGCCGCCCATGAGCACCCGCAACACCAGGAATTGCAAGTACGTTGTCGGCCTTTTAAAAATGAATTAACTCTTTTCTTGAAGGTTTCAATATCGTATTGGTACGGAAATACCATCGCTGGAAGGTGATTCCACAATGTGGTTGTGCGTGGCAAAAAGTTTCTAAACTCTAAATTATGTCAGTCCTATTGTACCCTAAAATTTATAACTATATCACTTCAGTAGTGATCAAATTGCCTACTAGTGTTATAAATTTAATGGTGAACAAATTGCCTTTAAGAGGGAAGTGAATTGTTGGTCAAGTATCCTCACTGCTAGCAATGTACCATGCTTGGTCGACCTCCACGCGGTTCCCCCGGAAACCATCGTGGTTAATTCTTGATTAATTAACAAAGATGAGCAAACTGACCTGACCTCATGTTCTTCTTATCGTCCTCCATCGATGCCTCGACAGCGCAAACAGCGCAGGCGGGTGCACCAGTCCATTATTATTTATAAGAATAATATTTGTGAGCAATGATGGCTGGCTTATCCTCATACTCGGGAACGGGAGTTGCTTGTCCCCACAAGCAACTCTCGTTCCCGAGTATGACGGATATACGAATATGACTAGTCTGTTCGGGTTACGACCACTAACTAGATTATTTTCTTTTAACAAAAATAAATAGCATATTCTCGTAGTCGCTACATTGAGCAACCAAGTTGGTTTACATTTAGGGTAGGAATTAGGGAAAAAAATTCTTCCTGATTTATAATTTACGATTCCCTTATCATTGTAGGATAAGAAAAATAGATGTTGGCTGATTCTCAGACCTACCCGATCATCATCATCTGCTTCTTCCTTATCCTACTTATTTGTGGTCGGCGTAATGTTTCTCTTCCATTCATCTCTGTTCGCAGTCATCTCGTTATTTACCCCCATTCTCACCAAATCATCTTTCACGCAATCCATCCTCAGACCTACCAGATACGATCCTATAATTTCATAAAACTCCGTAAAGCCGATTCGGACGAGTTTGATAACCGCGATACGAGAATTTTCTATTTAAGAAATTAGGGATAAATTTAAAATGTAATATGAGAGTTAATAAACGGAATAAATGTTTTTCGGTACCAGAAATGAATTTGTTTTTGTACACCATATAAGGTACACAACATACTTGAATCAACGCCGGCTTTGTTTACCAACAAGGTTTGTGTAACAATACACCCTTTAATAATTAACCATGCGTTCTTATTTTGTCATAAACATCTTTATTTTTAACTACCTGTACACGGGACTTCTTCTGCGTGAAATTTAACTATATTTTTCTAAATAAAGGTCGCCTAAGTTACTCGTTATTACATCAGCTACCTGCCAATAAAAGTCCCGTCTAAATCGGTCAAACCATTTCGGTCCAGCCATTTCAGAGATTAGCCGGAACAAACAAATATACAAAGATTTTAAAAAATGTAATTTTGGAGTATGTTCCATATCTATATTAATATAAATGTAGTAAAAAATGGTTATTTCAATATTACAAATAGACACTCCAATTTTATTTATATTTATAGATATGTGATATGATGTATGTATGTGTATGTAATATGATAACATTCGCCCGAGGTTACCTGTGTTACGAAAGAAAACATCCGTGGACTTTTTTTTCAGAGCAGAAAGTTTTCATAATAATGAAACACAAACAACGATCTGTGTAAGAGAGGCAAAACTAAATGTAAAATTTTATACCTAGCATCTTGCCTAAGGTTCTAGTAGGTAATGCTAAATCTAAAAAAACACGTATAGCATGCAGTGATACGTTAATGACGGCCTCGGTGGTACAGTGGTTTAACACACCGCTTTCCTTCCGATGGTCGCGGGTTCGATTCCTCGCACGGCACAAACATTTGTATTCATGAGTACGATTGTTTCTATCGGTCTGGGTGTTTTCTATGTATAATATGTATGTATTTACAAAAAAAATATCTATGTATTTGTATCAGTTGTCTAGTACCCATAATACAAGCTTTAGCTTGCTTAACTTGATTTAAATTAAAATAGGGACTAGATGGCGCTGTTTTAATTGTCCAGAGTTATTATTATTATATCGTTAACCGGGTCTTGACACGAATAATTTAAGGGTAAATAAAGGTGCTCGATGTTCGGTGTTGTGTTGTTGTGAAAACAAATTATTGTGCCGTGCGAGGAATCGATCCTGCGACCATCGGACGTAAAGCGGTGTGCTAGACCGCTAGACCACCGAGGTCGTCAAATACAATAAAACAATACGTGCATCTTTGCCGTGATCTGGTCGACGTCGTGATACGTCGACCAGTAGTTCGCGGCAAATGTTAACGCAATACGCAGATTTACAAATACATTACATACTCATATATGACGACCTCGGTGGTGTAGCGGTCTAGCACACCGCTGTACGTCCGATGGTCGCGGGTTCGATTCCTCGCACGGCACAAACATTTGTATTCATGAGTATGATTGTTTGTATCGGTCTGGGTGTTTTCTATGTATATTATGTATGTATTTACGAAAAAAAAAATATCTATGTACTTGTATCAGTTATCTAGTACCCGTAACACAAGCTTTAGATAGCTTAACTCGGGTCTAGATGGCGCTGTGTGAATTGTTATTAGATTATTATTATTATTTTTATATATTATTTTGTACAATGACGTTTTGAGATTGGTGTTCACGACCGTTTTCGGTTTATTCATGAACGCAGAATGATATACTGGATTCTGTTTGCACAATAGAAGTTTATAAATGACACAGAAAATCTTCCATAAGTACATTAATCTTAATATGTAATGTAACAGAGCCAAATTCCTGTATGTTCAAATATAGGTTCCAACTAATACATTTACATCCTGCAGCATCCCTTATTTTATCCCCATGGGGGTTGAATTTATCAAAATCCTATTTAAGCGAACGTCTTCATCATAGTAGCTCCAATCTTTAATTTCAGTCAATCAGTCGAAAATCTAAGAAAATGTATACAAACTTTTATCCCCTATTTTATCCCCTTAGGGGTGGAATTTATTAAAATCCTTTCTTAACGGATGCCTACGTCATAGTAGCTTTATACATGCCACGTCGGGTTACGTCGACCAGTAAATCACGGCAAGGATGTTGTATCTTAATATTAACTCATTGTGCAGATTTACAAATAAATTACATACTCATATATTATATTGTACAATGACGTTTTGAGTCTGGGTTTACGACTGTTTCCGATTTATTCATGAACTCAGAATGATACATATACTGAATAATGTAGACACCATTGGAGTTTCAAAATGACACAGAAAATGCTCCATGAGTACATTAATCTTAATATGTAATGTAACAGAGCCAAATTTCTGTGTGAATGTATTATACAATTAATGGTTCAATGTTTCAAATTCAAATTCAAAAAATCATTTATTCATGTAGGACATTTTAGCCGCTTATGAACGTCAAGTTTTTACATTATAATTTTTTTCCCTACCGTCCAGTTCGGTATATAGATCCAATTGAGAAGAACTGGCAAGAAACTCAATTGAATTACTTTTTTTTAAAAGCCAAATTATTTACAATGTATATTTATATAGGTGTCTATGTCTAACATTAAATGAAAATCCCGAACATGAAAACTATTGCCATGCACGCTCGTCATTCAAGTAATCGTTTAGTGAGTAATAGGCCTTGCTCAGTAAATATGATTTAACAGATGTTTTGAATTTATTTAAGGGTAATTCCAATATATCCTTTGGTATCTTATTGTAAATTTTTATACCTATTCCCATAAAAGACCTATTAACTTTTTCTAAACGATACTTGGGTACAGCAAGTTTGTCTTTAAATCTAGTATTAATATTATGAATATTGCTGTTTTTTGGAAATAAGTCAAGATTTTTATGAACATATAGGATATTTGAATATATAAATTGAAAAGCAACGGTGAGAATATTTGCCTCTTTGAATTTCTCTCTTAATGAGTCACGACTCTTCATACAGTAGATCGCTCGAATGGCACGTTTTTGTAATAGTAATATATTTTTAATATCTGCCGCTTTTCCCAATAATAATATTCCATAAGAGAGTAAACTATGAAAATAACTGAAATAGACCAATCTAACAGTATCAGTATCAGTGTACTGTCTAACCTTATGCACGGCAAAAGCTGCTGAACTCAGTTTCGCTGCAAGGCTTTGAATTTGTGCACCCCATTGTGTTTTATTATCTAATGTGATTCTTAGAAAGACAGTAGATTCTATAAATTCGAGAGATTCGTCATTTAATTTTATGTTGCAAAATCCGTTCAGTAGTTTTTGCAGGAAAGAGTAACAAACATCCATACTTACAAACTTTCGCATTTATAATATTAAAAAGAGTCCAAAACCTCGAAAACTCAATACATTCTAAACGAATATATCTATACTTTATCCTAATTACACCTACACACCTACGAGCTATGAGCAAAGAAATCGACCTCTAAAGAGCTTCTAGGTTCAAGATGAAGAGGCAGGAGATCAAGTCGTTTTCTCGTTGCCCGGTGATAGCAACCACAGCCAGTGCCACAAGGTAGACCAGGTTCTTTTCTGTCCTCCAGTACAAAGCGCCACGGTGCTTCCATCTCAGCTGTGACATTTAGAGGACCATTACCTACATTCTGTATTCGGAAACGTTTTCTAATCCTGCAACAATATTAAAATAGGTTAAACATATAATATATAGTATTGTAGTTTTATTTTAGACTTTCTAAAATAATTCGATTTTTTATAAAATAAAAGTAGCCTAAGTTACACCCTAGCAGCGCCCCAGGCTCCATTATACTGACAAAACGTTCCGGTACCCTAGTTCATTATCATTAAAAATTGACAACCTTTTGGACTTTATTTTTATTTATATACTAGCTGTTCCCGCGACCACGTCCGCCTGGAATTTAACATTATTTTTCTAAAATAAAAGTAGCCTAAGTTAATCAGCTACCTACTAAAAAAAGTCCCGTCAAAATCGGTCCAGCCATTTCAGAGATTATCCGGAACAAACAGACAGAGAGACAAACAAAAATTGTAAAAAAATGTTATTTTGGTGTATCTATATGCATGTAGTAAAAAATATTTCAATATTACAAACAGACACTCCAATTTTATTTATATGTATAGATGTATAGATTAATAAATAAATAAAATAAAAATCCTATCACATATTAAACATTCAATTACCTTAAAATAAGCTGGTAACAACTAGTATCTAAATTATCTATAAGAGTAGATCCACACACCCCAACTGATTTGCTGGCGATATGGTCGCCGGCAAATGTAATCGGCACTCGAGCCGGCGCAGCGCCGGCCTATAATCCACATTAGCAATAGCAATACCTTAAAACATCACCAAACGGCAAGTCGAGAGCACTCAGCTTGGCGATTACTTCTCGGCAAGAAAGACGCAGCTGGCCCTCTCGGACTGTCTGCTTTAAGTATACCAGCTGCGGAGCTGGATCAGGTCGGTACCAACTGTCACTGCAAAATATCACACATGTATATATTTGGACACTTGGTGTGACACGATGAACTTACGAATAAAATTATCTAAGGAAAGAAAGGAAGGAGAAGACCAAGACACAACTATATTAAGCAGATCAAGGAAGAAATAGGAGTCGTGTTGTCGTATCAAGAACTAAAGAGATTGGACGAACTTACGAATAAAATTATAGAAGGAAAGAGAGGAAAGGGAAGATCAAGACACAGCTATATTAAGCAGATCAAAAAAAAAAAAATAGAGTCGTGTCGTCGTATCAGGAACTAAAGTGATTGGACAAACTTACGAATAATATTATCGAAGGAAAGAAATATTATAGTGAACTTATAATTAATCCGAATTGCAGTATTAAAAGCAATTAATTAAAAGAGCATAACGCACGTTTCTTGCTCGTTATTCTTGTGATAAGACAGCTTTACGAATAAGCGGCAGATTAAAAACATATATACATATATATTCTAAAGTGCTTAAATTGAATAATTACTTTATATTCTGAAACTATCTATCAAATCTATCTATTACCTCACCGCTTTACGTCCGATGGTCGCGGATTCGGTTCCTCGCAAGGTACAAACATTTGTATGTATGATTGTTTGTATCGGTCTGGGTATTTTTATGTGTATTATGTATGTAACGAAAAAAAATTATCTATGTATTTGTATCAGTTGTCATAACACAAGCTTTAGCTAGCTTAACTTGGGTCTAGATGGCGCTGTGTGAATTGTCCTGAGATTATTATTATTATTATTATTATTAATATATATATATAACTCAAAGGTGACTGACATAGTGATCTGTCAACGCACAGCCCAAACCACAGAACGGATCGGGCTGAAATTTGGCATGCAGGTAGATGTATGACGTAGGCATCCGCTAAGAAAGGATTTTGATTAATTCTACCCCCAAGGGGACAAAATAGGGGATGAAAGTTTGTATGAAAGTTTGTCAATTTTAAACCGATTGGGATGAGACTTTGCATGCATAAAGCTACTATGACGTGGGCATCCCCTAAGAAAGAATTTTGATTAATTCTACCCCTAAGGGGATAAAATAGGGGATGAAAGTTTGTATAAATCTTCTTGGATTTTCGACTAATTGAACTGAAATTAAAGATTGGAGCTACTATGATGAAGACGTTCGCTTAAATAATGTGATAAAATAAGGGATGATGCAGGATGTAAATGTATTAGTTTGAACCTATCAGTACCTAATGGAACGAATAAATTAAGACGAACAAAATAATTTTTAGTTCTTTAGGCTACTTTTTTTTTAGAAAAATAAATGTAAATTCCACGGACGAAGTCGCGGGAACAACTAGTAAGATTATAAACGTTTATGATTGTGAGTATTGATGGATATTTGTTACTCTTTCACGCAAAAACTACTGAACGGATTTTGATGAAACTTTACAGTGATATAGCTTATACATCACTATAATATAAGGGCTATAAATTTTACAGCTAATTAAAAATGTAATAAAAAAAAAATAATGTTAAAATATTATACTAAGGTAGGAACTGAATAGCGAGGAACATTTGTTACAAAACAATATTTACATACCACGAAATTCTCACATTTAGGCCAAAGCGGATACATTAGGGATGAAATTTTAATTAATTGCCGCCACAATGGGATACTGTACTCAGTTGGCAGTAGGAGGCGATTAAAGTATACCAACAGTGCCTACTGCATGGACCATTACATATCGTTTATGAATTATCATCATTACCCGCTACGTCCGCGGTGGAATTTAATATTTCTAAAAAAATATATTTTTCAAAAATAAAGTTAATCACAATACTTTTTTAAAATAAAATAGCCTAAGTTACTCCTTATTACATCAGCTACCTGCCAAAAAAGTCCCGTAAAAATCGGTCCAGCCATTTCAGAGATTAGCCGGAACATACAGACAGACAGATAAAAATTGTAAAAAATGTTATTTTGGTGTATGTACCCGTATTGTTATTCGTATACATGTAGTAAAAAACGGTTATTTCAATATTCTAAACGAACACTCAATTTTATTTATATGTATAGATTACCCATGTTTTTTATTACTGCTAATCTGTAGGGTCTTTTAAAATGCGTAAACAGATGAAAGCCATAATAAACGTTGTTAACTTTGTACATTTTTATTTTATGTAATTGGAATGACAAACAAACATACAACCCTGACCGAATGTTTGTTTTTCGCCGCAAATAAATGAGTGCTAGTTGTTGTTTGTATTACCATGATCTACTGATTATACAACGGACTGTGTTCTGAGGAATTGTTCGACATGATACCGACAGCCACCTTTCACCACCCGCACCGCTTGCCATCGACAGAGAATTCATCCCCACACGCTGGAACCTAAGTGGTCTCGGACAGTGCCCATTTCAGAGGAGCTTCCTCCCGCAATGCATAGATTGTGGAATGAACTTCCTGCGAGTTTTCTCGAGACTACAGCATGGAGTTTTTCAACGGTATATTAAAGTTTCTTAAGGGTCGGTAACGTGTATGTGACACCCCTAGTGTTTCAGGCGTCCATAGACTACGAGTAACCATTTACCATCAGATGGGCCACGTATGCTTGTATGCCACCATAGTAGTATAAAAAAACACGTATCGACTTGAAAAATATAGCGG